CGGAGATGGGGATGGGGATGGGGATGGAGATGGGGATGGGGATGGAGATGAGGATGGGGACAGGGATGGGAACGAAGATGGGGCTGGGGACGGGGACAGGGAAAAGGATGGAGATGGGGATGGGGAAGAGGGATGGGGATGAAGATGGGAACGGGGACAGGGACGGGGACAGAGATAGGGATGGGGACGGGGAAAGGACGGGGATGGAGATGGGGATGGGGAAGAGGACGGGGATGGAGATGGGGATGGGGACAGGGATGGGGACGGGGATGGGGATGAGGATGGAGATGGGGGATGGGGACAGGGACAGGAACGGAGATGGAGATGGGGATGGAGATGGGGACGGGGACAGGGACAGGAACAGAGATGGGGATAAAGATGGGGATGGGGACGGGGACACACTGACACCCCTCCCTGCCTTCCCCCCGCAGTGATCCGCGGCAGCATCCGGAGCGTCTCCAACGACGTGGAGCTGCAGGAATCCGTCATCGGGGTGAGCGCCGCCCGCATCCACCGCCAAAAATTCCCCCTCTTCCAGGCGGGGGGGCGGCCGGGGCGGCCGGTGGGCAGCATCCGCACCCCGCTGCGCTGCGGCGTCAAGCCAGGCCCCGGCACCTTCCTCTTCACCGGGTGGCTGCATTTTGGCGAAGCCTGGCTGAGCTGCGCGCCCCGCTATAGGGACTTCCAGCGCATCTACGAGGGGGCGCGGCGCACGCGCCAGAACCCCTGCGAGTTCCCCATGGACTGAGGGGCTCGGGGAGGGCAGCCCGGTCCCGCGGGTGCTGGGGGGCCGGGGTCCCGCAGGCAGCGAGAGCATCCCCGGGGGGACGCAGGGGCGGCGCGCCAGCAGGGATGGTGCCCGGAGGGAGCGTGGCACTTTGGTCCTCGCCGGGCTCCGGCAGCGCCTGCCACCGGGCTGAGGGGGTCCCGGGAAAATCCTGCTGGAAGAGAAGGGATTTTCCCAGGGCGCGCTCGCCCGTGGTCCCCAGGGACCTGCCCGGGTGAGGGGTGCAGTGGCGTGGGGCAATGGGTTGGGGGGTCCCTGGGGACCGGAGTGCTGCGGGCTCGGGGTGCTGCGGGCTCGGGGTGCTGCGTGCTCAGGGGATGCTGCAGGCTTGGGGTCGCTGCGGGCTCGGGGACGCTGCGTGCTCAGGGGATGCTGTGGGCTCGGGGACGCTGTGGGGCACGGTGGGTCCAGCACGATGGGGCGGCCGTCTCCCGCCCCGGGAGGGCTCGGTGGCGGGTGGCCATGGCGGTGGGTGGCCGTGGTGGCAGGGCTGGGGACATGACGGGCATGGTGGGGCGCAGAAGGGCCAGGAGGTGAATTTGCGATGTCGGGGGTGGAAGGGGGAGCGGGACGGTGGCGAGCCTTGCCCTGGCCCTGCCTGCAACGCGGGGTACGGGCAGGAGCCGCGGGGCGGATGCTGAGGAAGAGGAGTGAGGCCGAAGGGAGCGAGGGGGATGGTGAGGCAGGAGGAAGGCTGACGCGGGGAGCAGAGATGTCCCGGCATGGCCGGACAGGACCAAAGCGCTGATGCAGGAAGGTGCCGCGGGAGCGGGGAGAGGTCGGGCCGTGCCACCCATCACCGCCAGCCCGGGGCCGCGGCCTGGCGG